TAGGCAAGCATATGCCTCCATCAGCCAAGAAGAAAAGCAACGCACGCTTGGAGCCTCACGAGCTGCTCCTGGAACTCCCGATACTGCTGCCATGGCTGTTAGAATTGGACGCCCTAATCAGAATCGATCCACCAATCGTGAGGATCGTCGCACTGACAGGACAGACCACAACCGTTCCCAGACCTCCAACCGTGATGACCGTCGCGCTGGATCTTCAAGAAACCGACCCCATTGCACCCATTGTGATGACAATGGCCATCACATTGATACCTGCTGGAAGCTTCATGGGTATCTAGAAGGTCATCCACGCCACAAACCTAAGACAAATCATGGTGGTCCATCTTCCAATCATGTTTCGGAAGGCCCAACCAAGGATGAGATGCAGTCCATTATGTCCGGCCTTTCGGACCTTCAAATTCAGCAGATGTTGGCTATCATGGATGACAAATCAGTTCCTGACAAGAAATCCCAGGTCAATGCCGCTGCCACCAACAAAGGTTTGTCAAAATTAAAATTTCGGCGATGGATTATCGACAGTGGCGCGACTGACCACATTGTTTCTTCTCCAAAATTGTTAGTTCATCATAATATTGATCATTCTATGCAACCGTTTCGTATGCCTAGTGGGGAGAAGGCTTCAATTACTACAACAGGATCATTCCCTCTCAATTCTACTTATACTTTGCGTGATGTGCTATGTGTACCTACTTTCACAGTAGATTTGATGTCTGTGAGTAAGCTTACAAAAAATTTGAATTGTTCAGTGACCTTTTTCCCATATTGGTGCATTTTGCAGGACCTTGCTACGAGGAAGACGATTGGTTTGGGTAAGCAACATGGCGGGCTTTATTATTTGGCGGCACTATTGGCGGAGAAACCCCACAACACAACCCACCAATATCCCTCTCACCGTCCATCCTGCAATCACACTGTCACCACTACCGACCTTTGGCATCGTCGTCTTGGCCATATTTCTTCCTCCATATTACATTTGATGTCTAAGCATTTACTAGATTTCCCTTTTGTCTCTAATAATGCTTGTCATGTTTGTCCCTTGGCAAAGCAAAGTCGTCTCCCTTTTGGAACAAGTTCAATTTCATCTGTCAAACCATTCGATTTAATTCATTGTGATATTTGGGGCCCTTATAAGCATTCGTCAATTTCTGGTGCCCATTATTTTCTTACAATAGTTGATGATTTTTCTCGCTTTACTTGGGTATTTTTAATGCGCCATAAACATGAGACTCAACATCTTTTGAAAACTTTTTTTTCTTTTGTTAGCACTCAATTTGATTCCCGAATTAAACAACTTCGTGCCGACAATGGAGGGGAATTTCTTTCTCTTCAGACTTTCTTTCATGAACAGGGCATCATTTTTCAACACTCTTGCGTTTATACGCCTCAACAAAATGGGGTCGTAGAACGTAAGCCACTACAACACAAAAACCCTTCTATGACATCTGATTTGCGTCATAGAAGGCATTTAATGACGCAGATCAGGCGTCGTTACCCACGTCGTCTAAAGGGGGGGTCATGGAAACTTTTTTAAAACATGACGTCTGTTTCTACGTCATGGAATAGGGTTTCAATGACACGGATAGCACGTCATGGAAACTTTTTTAAAACACGACGTTTGTGCTGCGTCATGGAATGGGATTTCAATGACGCGAATGGCGTGTCGTGAGCATATGCCACTAATATTCATGTGACACATAAATTCGCTCCTCGTGCTATTCCATCTGTTTTCCTTGGTTATCCCCTTGGTCAAAAAGCCTTCAAACTTTATGATCTTGAGTCTTACAAAATTTTCACAAGTCGTGATGTTAAGTTCCATGAAGATATTTTTCCCTATCACACTTTTTCTTCCCCCTCTTCCCTTTCGGTTCCCTCTGCCTTTCCGGAACCTCATTTCCCTTCTGACGTGGACCCCATTTTTTTCATCTCCTCCAGCCGCTCCTTTAACTGAGTCGACCCCTCCCAATCCACATCCTCTGCCTTCGTCCCCACCTAACACCGACACCGAGCCTGGTCCGCCTTTGCTCTTATCCCCACCGGCTGAGCACGTCCCCGGTTCACCCGCCACCACTCCCCATGCACCCACACCTGACCCGCCACCTCTCCGCCGTTCTAAACGCGTGTGCCTTCCGTTCGCTTACGTGACTATGTCTGCAATCAGGTCATGTTGCCCATCCCTGATCACTCGTCTTCTTTACTGCCGGGTCCTACTAAAGGTACACGTTTTCCGCTTTGCAATTATCTCTCATATCATCGTTATTCCTCGGCTCACCTTGCTTTCATTACAAAAGTCAGTACTATTGTTGAACCCAGTTCTTATGAGGAAGCTGCTCCCCACTCTCATTGGTAAGAGGCCATGCAGTCTGAATTGCAGGCCTTGTCTGATAACCACACTTGGAGTCTTACTCCGTTACTTGCTGGAAAGAAGCCCATTGGTTGTCGGTGGGTGTATAAAATAAAGCTTAAATCTGATGGCTCTGTTGAGCGGTATAAAGCCCGGTTGGTTGCTAAAGGTTTTACTCAGCTGGAAGGTGTTAATTATCATGATACTTTTTCTCCTACTGCTAAAATGCCCACTGTCCGCTGCCTTCTTGCTCTTGCTGCCGCCCGTAATTGGCCACTTCATCAGCTTGATGTCAACAATGCTTTTCTTCATGGTGATCTCCATGAGGAAATCTACATGCTCCCTCCACCTGGTCTTCGGCGACAGGGGGAGAACTTGGTATGTCGCCTTCATAAATCTCTTTATGGTTTAAAGCAAGCTTCTCGTCAATGGTTTGCTAAGTTTTCTCAGGCCATTTGTTCTACTGGTTACATTCAGTCTAAAGCTGACTATTCTTTATTTACACGCCATAAGGGGCACTGTTTCACAGCCTTATTGATTTATGTTGATGACATTGTTATCACGGGCAATGACCCTATAGCTATCTCGGCACTCAAGGCCTTTTTGCACCGTCATTTTCTTTCGTATTAAAGATCTTGGAGATTTGAAATACTTTTTGGGGATTGAGGTATCAAGATCAAAACAGGGCATTTTCTTATCTCAATGCAAGTATGCATTGGAAATTTTGAAGGATGCAAAACTCCTAGGTGCCGCACCTGTTGATTTTCCTATGGAAAAAGGTCTCAAGCTCTCGGATAAAGGTGAATTACTTAAAGATCCAGCTCATTATAGAAGACTCGTTGGTCGCTTAATTTATTTGACCATCACAAGGCCAGATATTACTTACTCTGTTCATGTCTTAAGTAGGTTTATGCATGCCCCACGTAAACCTCACATGGAGGCCGCACTTCGCATTCTTCGTTATTTGAAAAAATCACCAGGTCAAGGCATATTGTTGTCCTCTCAGAATGACTTGACTTTGCGTGCCTTCTGTGACTCTGATTGGGCAGGTTGTCCTAATACTAGAAGGTCTACTACATGCTATTGTGTGTTTCTGGGATCTTCTTTAATTTCATGGAAATCGAAGCGACAAAGAACTGTATCTTTATCATCAGCAGAAGCTGAATATAGATCTATGGCGGCAGCATGTTGTGAGTTGTCTTGGCTTCGATCCCTCCTCAAGGATTTGCGCATCCTTCATCGCCAATCTGCTTTGTTGTATTGTGACAACAAGGCAGCTTTACATATTGCTGCTAATCCAGTATTTCATGAGAGAACAAGACATATTGAGATGGATTGTCATTTTATTCGAGATAAGATTCAGGAAGGTTTGATTGCTACACAACATGTGAGTTCGTCCTCTCAGTTAGCCGACATTCTTATTAAGGCGTTGGGACGAGAAGAATTCAACAATCTTGTTCGCAAGTTGAGAGTTCTTGATATCCACTCTTCAACTTGAGGGGGAGTGTTAGGAAATAAGTTTGTATAATATCAATTGATATCAATACTGTTGTAATTAGGATTTACTTTCCTAGTAAGTTTCCTAGATTAGAGGACTAGTTTCCTTGTACACTTAGAATACTCTTGTATAAAACCAATTGTACGTAT